GAGGATGCAGGAATTTAGGGGCAGGGGATGTCTTACCAAAGACCCACAGAGGAGAGGGACTAGAATTGGAGTGGACGAGCAGAGATAACTGAGCCCTTGAGGCTGAGCATCTCCAACAAGCTGGGAAATTCAACAGGGCAGGGAGTTACGGCTCATGCTCAAGGAGTGCCGGTCCCCCGCTGGAAGAGGCTGGCATGACAGGATTGAGCAAGAGCAAGATGAAGTTTCACACATTTGATTCCTGTGCCCAGCATATTCTATGACCTCCCTGCTAAGGTGGAGTGAGCAGGTGCAAAAAGTCAAACACTCGTGATGGTCGGTTGCCTGAAATTTCCTTGACAGAAATCTGCTGGGGCAGGTAGGAGCCTGTGAGGGATTATGGGAAGGACCTGCTCCGCCTAAGACAGGATGTGTGCACATTAACCTTGGCTTCCCGCCTCATGCTCCTGTGACCCATCTGAGTCACATTCCTTCTCCAGGACATCCTCCTACGTGGCTCCTGCCCAACTTCCACCAAGCAGGAAGATGTACCTGTCACAAGACCTCCTGTGATCTTTGGGGGTGCTTTAGAAGACACCTGGAGGGTGTTGGCTTAACAAGCCTGGGCCTTGTGCCTCCTTTCCCTAGAGGCCACAAGAGGGGCTGGGCCCCATCCCTTAAGCACAGAGTCACCATTCAGAGGAGGGACACATTCACGCTTCTTCCCATCATGGCTTTTCTTTATCCTGCTGGCAGTGGACACTTTGTGATAAGTATTGGGGTTTATCAGAGGAAGAGAGTTCTGTCCCCACCTTCTTCTGGTCTGATGGGATTATTGAGTCTTCCTTGATTTCCTTGGGAATCAGGGCAGGGCATCCTACGGTCCCCTATACCACATCATAAGGAAGCTACGTCCCTTCTTGCACTTCCTCCAGCTCTTGGCTCCTCTGTGGTAGGTCAGAAGGTGGGAATGCAGAGGTGCCACCTTCTGAGACATGAGGTGTTGATAACAGAGGTCCATCCATCCACTCAGGGCCTTCTTTGTCTTTCTGCCTCCCAGTCCTCACCTCCCACCCCCAAACACCCTGGTCTCTGAACACTAGGATGCCACACCTGCCTTCTTTCTTCATTGCTGGCTCCATCCTCTTCCTCATGCTTTGTGCATCTACAGCTTTCTCTGTGATCTCTCCCACTGCTCCAGTGTTCCAAGAACACATTCAACCACCTTTTTATGTCAGTTGGCCACTGACTCCTTAGGCCCTAATAGAAACTTGCCATGGTAACTTCCAGAATCTCTCTCTTCCTCTGGCTTTCCAGCTTTGGTACTCCACACCCTTCTCCCAGCCCTGGCCATGGTCCCTTCTCAGCTCCTCAATCACCCATCTGGGTCTTTTCCCACGCTCTCTTACATGTGAGAGAAACCTTTCTTCTCCTGATATACAAAGTCTTACCTCATTAATGTTTCCTTCTATTTACCACCAGCAAAGCAACTGTGCTTTTTCCAAGGCTAACTATTGGGGCATTCACTCCCACTCCCTGACCCCTATACCACCAAGTTGCTCAGCAGTTCTCTTGTGCCCTCCAACATTATCATTATCTCTCTCAACCGGATCTTTCCCAGTGACATCCAACATGCCATGTCTTCCATCTATTTTATTAAAAACCTTCTGAATCCCACTTCCCCCTCCAGATATTTCCTCATTTTTCTGCACCTCTGTGGACCAAAATCCTGGAAGGAATTGATTATACTTGCTCTCACCAATTGATGTCCTGCCATTCTCTCTTGAATCCACTCCAGTCATGCCTCCACCTCCATCATTCTCCTGAGTCTGTTCTTCTCAAGGCCATAAGTGATCTCTGTGTTGCTTAATCTCTGGTCAACTCCGAGTCCTCATCTTACTTGATCAATTCACAACTTTTCATGCAGTTGCTCACTTTCTCCTTGCAATACTTTCCTCTCTCGGCTTCCAGTATACCACACTTTTCCGGTTTTCCTCTTAACTCATTGGCTACTACTTCTCAGTCTCCTTTGCTTATGAGTTCCTCCTTTTCTTCCCACTTTCTTGACATTGAAGAGTCCCAGAGCCCAGTTCTTAGATCTCTCCATTTACACTTATTCCCTTGATGATCTAACTAGTCTCATGGTTTTATATACATCTATCATCTGTCTGTCTATTTATCCATCTATGATCTACAGCTAAGACCTACCCTGAGCACCATCAGGCTTCTGTATTGAGAATAGACTGTTGCAGGTATGGTCTCAGGAAGAAGGGGAAAGATTGGTTATGATACTATTGCTGTAATCAGAGCAGCAGAGGAGGTGGGAAGTGGTCGTATTCCAGATTCATTCTGAAGGTAGAGACCACAGGATTTACAGATGGATTGGAGTGAACTGTTAGAAACAAAAGTCAAGGATGACACCAATGTTTTTGATCTGAAAAACTGGCAAGAGAGGTGCCATTAACTGATATGGGAAATACTGCAATTGGAGCAGGTTTAGTATGTGTGATTGGGGGGTGGGGAGGCGGGCAGAGGAGGGAATCAGGAGTTTACTTTTGAGATGAATATTGGACATCCGAGTGTATATTTTTACTAGGTAGTTTGGGCATGTGACACTGTCTACCCCATGAGATCATAACCTCCATGGAGACGAGTCTTGGTGACTATTGTGTCTGGCATTCTTCCTAGAACACAGTAAGTACTCAGATATTTTAATTGTTGAGTGCAAGATGCCTCTCAAGGTCATTTTTATTGTGACCCTTTATGTGACCCTCCTCATCAGCTGAGTACTTCTTCCTGCAGCAGGACCCACACAGCACAGGACTCATCACACTGTTGTAATAATTTATCTGCCTCCACAGCCCAGTCTCATGGTTCATAGTTTTAAATATATCCGTCTATCTATCTATCTTTCTATCTATCTATCTATCATCTATCTACCTATCATCTATGTATATCTATTTATCTAGCTGTCTGTTTGCCTCCCTAAAGCCTGGACTTTCCTCAACTCCAGGGTCATATGCCCAAATTGTCTAATCAACATGTACACTTGTATGTCCAATATCCATCTCTAACTGTACAGAAGTGACTTCCTGATTATCCCACCACCACCACCACCACCACCACCACCCAGTCACATATACCACTCTATTCCAGTCATAGTATTTCTCATAGCGGTTCATGGCCACTCCATCTTCCCAGTTGTTTAGGCCAAAAACCTCGTGTCATCCTTGATTTCTTTTTACTCCAACTATCCACATCCAATCTATCAATAAGTCCTGTTATCTCTACCTTCAGAATGATTCCAGCATCTAATCAGTTCTATCTCCTCTACTGCTACCATTGCTGGAGTAACCTCATAACTAATATCCTTGCTTCTACCCAAGTCTATACCTCCAATACTCTGTTATTAGCACCACAGCCTAAGTGATCCTTTTAAAACATAATTCATATCTAAGCAGACCCTCAAACAGCTCCTAGTTTACTCAAAGGAAGAGTTAACATCTTGCAATGACCTTCTGGGCCTCACCCCATCTGGCCCTTTTACTGCTCTGACCTCATCCTCTGTGACATTCTCCCCTGATTACTTGGCGTCAGGCTCACTGTCCTTGTTCCTTGGAATAGGCTCGGCATGCTCCAGCCTCCAGACATCTGCATTAGCTATAATTTCTGACTGGAATGCTCTTCCTTAGTCATCCGTGTGGTTTACCCTCTCACCTCCCACTAGTGCATGCTCATGCATTAATTTCTTAGTAAGACCTGCCCTGAACTCCCTGCTTAAAACTGCACCCCACCTAAGTCTTCCCCAAACCTCTTACCCAGGTTTCTTGCATACATTTGGTCACCTTCTACAGACTATATTTTTACTATGCTTTTTTAATCTCCTTTCCTAGTGCACCATCAACCTAAGCTCCTTGGGGACAGGTTTTTTCCTCTTTTGTTCACTGCTGTCTTCCCAGTGTCTACACCAGTGCCTGGCATGTAGTAGGTGCTCAATATTAGTTGAAAGAATGGAAAAGGGATGAGTGAATGCCATCCATTCTCCAGCGTGGCAATGCCATTCTTATCCCTCAAACATTTCAAACTCAGTCTACATATCAGCTCTTCCAGGAAAATTGCCATGAACACCACCCCAAATTAGGTGACGTGCCTTCCTTTGCATTCCATCTACTTTTTCTAACCAGCTCTTTCACATTGCTTTCAGTGATTTTTGACTTGACTGTTGACTCCATGGTTCCACAAGCTCCATGGAAATGAGTCCCTGTCCCATAGGGACACTATGGTGTCCCTAGTGTCTACATAGTTTCTGGAAGACAATAGGTATTCGAGTATTTGAATTGTTAATTGTTGAATGCAAGACTCAGCTGAAAGGCGTTTATATTGTGACCCTTTTGGAGACCTTCTCATCAACTGAGCTTCATTGTAGGAGGCATTTATTCCACGCAGCTGAAAGGCAATGGGGGTTGAACGGGTGGCAGGGCTCCAGCAGGCTCCCAGATGGGTTACCCCTTAAAGAGCTAATCAGTGACAACAGGGCACAGAGAGGGGAGATGCTCTCCTTTGCTTCTGACATCTGTCATATTCTCCGTGTGCTTTGGATAAACACAAAGCATCTCAAGGATGGAGCCCCGTGACACTCCTCTAAAACCTTCCCTCCAGACTGTGGGCACATAGAGAAGCTATTGATGAATTGTGCCTGTGGGCCAGGAATGCACTGGGTTCCTGGCCACTCCCTCTGGACTATCATCATGCCCACATTGCTCCTCTGAAGCTTCCCTTTCATGGGAAGCCATGAAAGAATTCAAGCCTGACCTTTACCTTCAATGTGCCTTAGACAAGGGTCTTCCTTCTCTTCTCAAGCCCCTTGATCCACAGTCCAGGGTGGGGCTGAAAGAGTTGTGTGGAATCTGGCCCATCTGAAATGTGGGGTTAACCTCCTATACCACATGAGAAGTACTGCCTCCCTCCTCCACCCTCTCCATCACGTATCACATTGAAAATAAGGAGGCACAAACAGGCAGTTCTTTGCTCAGGGGTATAAAGTATATTTGGACAGGGTCCTGCATCACCTGCACGTTAATGGAAATAATGATGACAGTCTTTTTCAGGGGGATGCAGAGGTTTGGGAACCTCTGAACTGTTTTTCCCTGGAATGGGAATTCTCCTTGTATAGACCAGTGCCTTCTGCTGAGGTGAAAGTTGAGACCTGGGATGGATTTTCTGGTTGAGTGGCATAAGTCAGCTGAGGATGGTGCTTGGAGCTGCTGTGAAAGGCACAGGAACCAGGAGTGGCTGGACTGAAGGAAGTAGGGGCATCGAAGAAGGTCATGCCCTCCTCCTGTGCTGTCTTCTCCAGCTTAGCTCCCCTCACCGGGTCTTTGGTGGGAGGTGCACTCTTCAAAACCTTTTTTGTTGTGGTTTTGGCCACCGTCTCGTTCTTAGAGAGGAGAATGTGTTCCTCAGGCCCTTGACCTTTCATCTCGGGGTTAATCCAGTGTGGAATGTACATCATCTTATTTCCCAAGCCAGCTTCTGCAGCTTCTGGAAGGGTGAGGCACTTGTGAGTATGAGCTGCCTTTACCAGACCCTGCAGCTCTTGGCCCTAGAAAGTGTGACCCTACAAATTTTGGACCTAAACAGTTTGGATCTGAAAAATGTGGCCCCTTCAAATGCTGGACTTGCAAAATCTGGCCCAGCAAATGATGGAGTAAGTTGGTCCTGTAAGGTCTGGCCCTTTAAGCTCTGGGCACTCCAGACTTGGCATTCTCAGGAATCCTTGTTTGGGTGAGGTCATTTAGCTTGCTCTAACAGCCTTGCAGACCATTCTTATCTGGTCCTTTTGTCCCAAGGAATCCTGGAGGATGCTCTAGGAGCTCAAGGTGAGGGAGAAGCTGGTAAAGGTGCTGACAGGGAGCAGTAAGCTGAAAGGATAGAGATGGTGGCTCTATAGATCCAGACAGATCCTGGCTAGTCCCTGCTCACTCAAGGCAACCATCTTGGCCAAACTAAAATTCTACCAGGGAAAGATCCTGGAGATACATTTGGGAAGTCAGGGGCTCTGGAGGTTCTCCTTAGAAGTGTCCCTCCTGGCCCCTGACCTTGGAGAGGAGATGCTCTCTGCTTGAGGAGAGCCTCAGCACGGCATCTCCTTCTCTGTGATTCTCTGCTGCTCTGAGTTTCCCTGGGTCCTCTGTTTTCTCTGCTGGGGTAGGGGTTGTCCTCACCCTTTCAGAGGCCTGGGGCTCAGGGGTCCAGGGCTCCTCCAGGCTGGGGTTGCTCTCACTGGTCTCCAGCTGTACACAAAGCACCTGGGCCTCTGTTGTGTCCCCACTGGGTTGTGAGCCCCTGAAGGCCCAGGGGGCAGAACCGAGAGGATTGCTCTGGAACTAGCTCTCTTTTGGTTCTGCTGCACTGCCTTAGTTTAACTGCAAGCTCCTCTTTAAGGTGGACCTTTCTGGGGCACATGGGATGCCTGGTGGGATGGGGAGTTTCTGCAGCAATGTTTTCCCTTGGTTGCTTAGACTCCTAGGCACAGATATTCCATGGGACAGCCACACTTTGTTCCCAGGACTCCTTAATCTTTATGAGACATCCTAAATGTATCCCCAACAATTTCTTTTTCAGCTAAAAATTAATTTGGCCGAGATGGATGTCTTGAGTGCATAGGGGCGAGCAGAATCTGTCTGACTCTCTAGAGACACCACCCCCACTGACCTGTGCTTCAGTCTGCACCACTTGTGCACCATCTGCACAAGTCTCATTGGCATCTTGAAAGCCTGGCCCAGGATACAGACATTGCTATTTAGATGAGATTGAGCCAGAGGCTCTGATGGGCCCCAACAGGCCCACGCACCATCTCTGTGATGCAGATCCAGGCCATGGCCTTGGAAAGAGCCACATAGTAAAGAGCCAGCAGCCCTGACAGGAAGGCCAAAACTTGTCTCCAGTTTCTTGGCGACTCCCTGGGAGAGCACCCAGGCAGGTGCTGATCAGGGCAAGCAGTGATAGCATCTGGTGAGGCTTGCTGCTTCTGCTCAAGCCCTCTCAGTGTTCAGGGTGTCATGTCCTGATCCATGCAGGGGTAATTGCTTTCTCCACATCTAGGGGCTTACTTTCCAGGGTGCAAGGGACCCAAGTTGCTGCCAGGGCCCCTGGAATGCTGCAGACCCAGTGATTTGCACCCCAACAGCTGCAGATGTGGGCAGGGACAATGCCCTAGCAGATCTTCCCACATTTGTAGTCGGTGTGGCTCTGCGTGGCCTAGGAGAGCAACTGTGGACTGGCCCTGCTGCCACAGGGGATCAGAACTTGTCACTATCTCACTGGTCTCTGGGCCTGCAGGCCAAGGGACACTCACACTGGTCAGTGTGCTGCCCTGGGGCAGACGCTGCAGCTCAGTATGGGGCAGGAGGAACTGGATGGCCTGCTGGATCTTCTGGGGCCACCCCAGCATGGTGAATCAGCCTGCTAATCAACCCCTTCTGAGGGTGGAACCCAGCAGCTTTGGGCATGCTCCAGGGAGACATGACCTCCTTCTCAAGGACTGAAATGGGCTTCCCCAAACAGGTGGGCCCCTGGGTCCCAAGGGACAGGTCACAACATGTCTCCTGGTTCCCTGCATCTACAGAGGCGATGTATGGTTCTCTGCATCTACAGAGATCTTGGATCACCAGCTGGCAAGCCCCATCGAAGCTGGAGCTGCCTTTGCAGCAGGTGCTACTCCAACACTTCACCCTTGGTCAGAGCAGGAAATGGGACATTGATAGGGCTTGTTGAGAGTCAGCTGGAGAAGCTCAAATTCAGGAATGTGGGAAGAAGGTAGGCTAACTGAGGTGGAGGAAATTTCATACAGTATGGAATGAAGAAGAAATCAGTGAAGGAAAGGGACTGGGGCTCCCCTTGGTGCAGAGATCTCCAGGGGCGGGCCAGGGATTCACCCTGTAGGAAAGAGGAACCATAGAAAGGTAGCTGTGTTTCTGCTGCAGATGGCACACCAAGGCCCAGCGGGTCCCCCAGGCAATGGACAGAGGCCACTTAGAGACTGAAAGGTGGTCTACAGTAGAGCCACAGCCATGCAGTTTGGGACTTGCTTGCAGTGGGACTTGTTCTGGGTCCAGAGTGGATCCTTCAGAAACCCAGAGAGTTTGAGTAACTGGCTGACCTCCCATGAGCCCCAGGTCAGGGAGACAAAAGCCCATCTTTCAACAGAGGCCTAAGAGGTGCCATTCATGATGAAAGAAATGATGGTTTTCCCCTCAGGCATGGAAAATATTTGGGGCATGTGACATAAGCTGCCATGGGAGCTCTTCCATAGATCTTGGGAGCCCTCCGGTGTAGAAATGCATGCATTTGTATGCCTGCCCTTAAAGATACCTCAGGGCATTGGGGACATAGGAACAGCAGGTGAAGGGAGTGCAAGGCCATGGGGGCTTTGAGGGTCTTGAGCTCTGGGTTCAGGGAAAGAAAGGGACTCAGGTATTCAAGGGCTGCTGACCTGGTTTCTCCAGCACACATTCGGAGTTGCTCTTCCCCTTGCTCTGCTGCTTCACAGGAGTCCCAGGCTTCTCAAGGCTTGAAGAAGACAGAGCTCCCGTGTCCCAGGACACATCTGGCACTTGAGATCCCTGCCCCAGGTCCCAATGTGGTGAACCCTGACTCTGTTCAAAAGAGAGATGAGACGTGGACAAAATCTCTGGGCAAGAGGAGCCCTGTGATGGCCCCGATGATGTGGGGGAGATCAGGGTTCTCACCCACCAGCAACTGCTGGATCTCCAGAGCCACAGCATTGCAGATGGGGCACGAGGGGTCTTCACACAGCAACCGCCGCACACTTCCCTCCTCAGGAAGCCAGCCCTGGCTGGGAAGGGAAACACGGCAACCATTTTTTCCTGATGGAGTGACATGGGAGTCTTTGGAAGAGTATGCCCTGGAGACTGGCCCTGTCCTCCCCCGGTCCTGTAAGCCCTGGGGTCTGCACCCCCTGGGGTTTACCCACCTACTTTTCTTCCTAGGACAGTGCCATTTGGCAAGTTGTGGTGGGCTGGGCAGAGGTTCTGGGGCTCGTGGGGCAGGATCTCAGACAACCCATGGGCGCACAGGGCCATGAGAGACTGGGGGGTGGGGTGAGTTCACTGCTGACCTGTGTTGAGAAGCTGAACCAGGAGAAGGGAACAAGGCAGATAGGGGGGCTGATGGCCAGGTGATGGGGCATCATCAGGTCCATCACCAGGTGGAACCTGGAGTCAGTCTCATTTGGGGCTAAGGAGGCCACAGCCTGGTGTTCAGTATTTTCAAACTGTGGGAAATGAGGTCCTTTTGGGAACTCTGCCTTCCGGGGACTATGGGGTGTCCCTGCTGCTGTCCTCAGCATCTCCTGGGAGCCAATCCCATTGTCTAGAGATCTTAAGAAGAGGGTAAGATGACAGGCTCCTGTCTGAGGGCTGTCCCAGGAACTGGCGCCCCCGAGGCCAGCAGCAGAGGAGGTAAGATCGGTAGAGTCCAGCCAGACTCCAAGGGGTCTGCTCTTGAAAGGGCACAGCTGCAAAGAGAACATGACAATGATGACGCATTCATGCACTTATTTATCATTCTCTTGACCGGATAACTTGTCTTGTGGCTGAGTGCAAACCCATGTAGGGTCTTTTACAAATTACGCACTAGTGAAATCCTGAATCCCAGGACCACTGTGAGCCCAACCCAGGACAGAACTGGAGACTCTTCCCTCCTGAGACATCTGACCCCCTCTGCTCCAGGACCCTCTCAACTGGTGCTACAGCCTCCGCTGTGTCTGGCTCCCTCCCAGCCATGATCCTTCTCCTCATCCCTGCCTCTGACCAAGCAGAGAAATCATCACAGGCCAGGCTGGGAGCTGGGAGACGGCAGAGAGCAAGAGATTACCTTTTCATAAGAGAGAGCAGCTCCATCGGCCTCTCAGCTTCTTCCCTGGAAAGTCTCCCAGCTGAGAAACCAGGAGACAGTGTTACATGGAATCCGGGAGAACTCAGGGACGTACTAGAGGAAGCTGACAGCCTTCAAATGAGAGGAGACTGGAAACGCCAACAGTCAGTGCTCTAAGGCATGACTGCAGACGACTTCACCGGTTATGACGCGCTGTCCCGGCCCTAATCTCCTCCGATCTTCACAACCACACTGTGAGTGAGGCAGGAGCCTCAGACACCCATTTCATGGATGACAAGGCTGAGGGATGAAGTGACTTCCACAGGGTCATAAAATGAGTAAATGACCACAATTAAGGATTTGTGCCCTACTTCCTAATTTCTCGCTCCTGGGGGGTAAGGTGGGGAATTTGGGAACATTCCCAGCCTCTGATCTCCCACCCAAGAAAGTCTTCCGGGAGAATTTGTCAACTTGGGGGGTCAGAGCCTTCAGTGGTGACAGTGCCGGGCTCCCGGCACCAGCGGTCATAGAAGGACCAGATCCAAGGGACCCTCGCCCACGGGCAGGGGAGTCAGGGCAGAGACCGGGACTTTACCTCGTGACGTTCTTTCTTGGCCCCTTTGTTTGAGTCTCCGGTGACACTTAAAGACAAAAAAGTTAGTGCGTGAAGCTGGGGCACCCTTTTCTTTTCATGTCTAAAACGAGACACAACCCTCAAATATTTCCCAAACTTCTTCTGTGTTCCAATTTTCTACATTCTCCCACCTTTCTTTTCCCTACTCTGCCTTTTCCACCCCTTCATTTCCTCTCTCTTCTTATTTCTGATTCATTTCGAGGCTTCCATAGCTGATACCTCCACCCCCATTCCCTGAACAAGTTCCACGGGGAGATCAGAATCAGATAGGAGCAAAAGGGGAACAGATGAACGGATGGGTGGTCTAGTAGACGAAGAACATTAGCCACTCACAGCCCTCAATGTCTACCAGCCAGAAGGAGGAGCCATATTTGGAGCTGTTCTGCGATCCAGTGAGGAAACCCCCATAAAAAAGCACGGGGTAAGGGTAACAAGAGAAAGTGAGGGGATAAATCTTGTTTGAGGTTTAATTAGTTCAGTCATAGTCATAGTGTTTCCCTACCTGGGAACAGCTCCTGGTAGGTCCCAATCTTAATTCTCGGTATCTCTTTTTCACCTGCCACATAATTAATGCAATAATGATGATGGAGCCGTAAGTGTATAAGGGACGCCCAGCATCCCACAGAACAAAGGTGGGGCTCAGCATAATCTAAGCCTCACTAGCCATCCTCTCCCTAGGCTTTCAGGGTCTTGGAACCTAATGACTCCACATTCTAGACTTTGTCATCCCTGCCTCACAGAAGATGGAACCAGAGTACCAGACTGAGCACAAAGCCCTCCTGTTTCCCAGGACACGCACAGCATCACCGACCTTTATCTGTCCAGGAAAGCTCATGTGACTCGGTGTTAAGATGAGGGTGACTGGTTGTCTGCATGGGTTGCAGAGCCTGAGCCTAAAGGTGCCAAGGTCACAGGCAGCATACACTCTTTCATGTCTCTCTAGTCCCTTTACCCTGATGGTTCAGCTGTCTCCTTAAGACCATAGTCTGGCATCTACCCCCAGATAACTGAGTCTTTATGAACACTGCATGCCCTATAAGAGAGAGAGTGGCTAGGCCAGAGGAACTCCATGACCTACATCACCTGTGCTGGGAAGGTAACTAAGACACACACAAGAGGATGGGGCACACGTTGTCTTGTGAAGTCTTAGGAAGTGGGGGTTCTGACGTCACAGGTAGTAAGGTGGGCAGTATCTAGAGGTTCAGGAAGAGGACCATGTCCGATGTGGGAAGGAAGGGACACAGCCGCTGTCCTCTTAAATAGCTTCCTGAGAGTTAAATAAGGACTCCTTTCAGCCTGTGGTCAAGCTTGAGACAGGTGAGAAGAAACGTAAACAATGCCTTCCATGGAGGCCCAAGATGAGGCTCACTTCTGAAGCTGGATTTTCCAGAACAGCCTCTACAGATCTTAGAGCATCCTGCCCACCCACGGAGATGGGTTATTGGTAAGGCTTTTGATTAAGGGCCACAAACTTGTGGCTCTTCAGTTGAACACACCGTGGTTGCAATGTTTGGCTGAGCGTTTTATGAAAATCTGAATTTGAGCACCTTTAGGCAGGGAAAGCTTTTTTCTGTTCAACCTCAGTACCCATCGCTCCTGTGTCCACTGATCCACATGTTAATGTTAACTTCATGGCCCCATCGACACTGTGATTTGCCTCCAACACTCCAGGACTTTGGATTTTCCTTAAGAAGTTCTCGCCCTGATCAGAGCGGTCCCACAGCCCCAAAATTCTTAGGCTCAAAATCTCTAAAGAGGCTACTTGGTCCTTCCCCCAGCATCCAGTCCACCACTGAACACCTGTGGCGAGCATTCAGTCTGTGCTCACCCCTGAGCTGGGCAGGGTCAAAGGCACAAAGACATTTGAGTCGTGTTACCTGCCTGCTCTCAAGACACTTAAAAATCTAGTTTCAAAGACAAGACTAATTCACATGAATCAAGAACAAACCTTCCCAGGGGATGGGGAACAAAGGGGTAGGGAGCTATTACTTAGTGGGTACACAGTTTCTCTTTGGGATGATGAAAATTTCTGAAAATGGATAGTGGTAATGGTTGCACAACATTGTGAATGTAGTTAATGACAATGAAATGTACACTTAAAAATGGTCAAAACAGTAAATTCTATGTTAAGTATATTTTACCACAATTTAAAAAACAAAAGGCCCAAAAATCCAGTCATTAGCATGAGGGATTTTTTACTAGCTAGAAGGTAGAATATTGTGAAAATGATTTGACAGAGAAACGGATTAGTGAATGTTTTTCTTAGATGTCCTTAAATAGAGACTAAAATAAAACCAAACAGGTCCTTACATTTAAGATCATTTAAGAAGAGTCTCACTCTGAAGACGGGACGAATTGGAGACAGTTCAACACGTTTCCTGAACTTGCAAATTCCGTAATACGGGAAGGGGATGACTCTTTCAGCCAAAGAGCACTGAATGACAGGTTAACAAAAATCAGTTAAAAAGCAGCTCACAGCAGCTTCTTAGAGGCAGGTCAAGATACCCACAGAGCAGCTTGAATCCTTCGTTATTTCTGTTGTTCCTACCCTCCCTGCCCCCGCCACCTGCAGCTGCTGCTGCAACAGTTCTGATCCCCATGAGCCTGACCCAGTGGGCCTACACGGTGCTTGGTGTCCTCCTCCCCTGGGCTGTGACACTATGATGTCTTTCTCATAGGTCCAGCATCAGGCGTTGAGCGTTCGGCCATCCCCAGAACCTTAGGGTGGGCCTGTCTCCCTCGCCAGTGGGATGAAGAGGAGGTGAGTAGAACATGGCATCTCCTACCCCACCAGCTCCTGCTTCCTGCAGCGGCTGCTGCCTTCTATGCCGCTGCCGCAGCTCGCAGTCTCCCATTAGCCTGACCTCCTGCCCAGGCCAAGCCATCAAGTTCTGCAGACATCGTGCCTGCTCCAGCCGGTGCACTATTTACCTCACAGGTTACCCACAGTCACCAAGAGGATGACACGAAGCCGTCAGAACCTTCTGCTGCAAACTTCTCTCTAGCCACTCACGCAGCCCTGCCTCAGAGCTGGGGAGTTAGAGCGAAGGACAATCTTACGCCCTCCTGCAGAGCAGGCCTTGAGTACAAGCTTGTTACTGGTTTGGTTCTCACTGATGGAGGGTGCTCGTGTGGATGGGACGGGGGGACCAGTGTCTTCCTAAACAAGGGCACATTCATGTCGTGAACACACTGTCTGTCACTGTTAACCGTGTGACCTGGATCCTCCCATTTGTCCTTCCTGATTCGTGGTTTACAGCGAACAGCAAACAGGGAAGAGAAGGACCTAGAAAGCCTCCGTGGACTCTGGAGAGTTACACAACTATAAAGGGCTCACATCCATTTATTTCTAGGAAACTCGCTAAAGCCAGACCCTGCTTCCATGACAACGCTACCGCGCCACAATTACCGTAATGGAGTTTCTTCAGGAAACTGTTCACAGTTGCTGATTCATGTGTACCGTGGGTCACCTCACACCCCCACAAAGGAAAATCCCCACACACATGCCACTGACCTGTTTGTCCCTCTGTACAAGCCTTGCGAAGGAGGTGTGCTTCATCTCATTCACAGAAAGTATTACCCAGCACCTTAGATGTGTCAAGGCACTGGGGACGGAGCAGCATGGTGGCTGTTATTCAGCAGCAGCGCTTTTATATTTGAGCATTTTCATTCATGCCCAGGAACCGAGATCTCCAGGCAGCTGGACAGGAAGCTCCTGAGTCGTGTCAGGGACAACACCATCAGCGCTCACACAGCCGGTCACTCGCTCACAGCCAGAGGCACTAGAGGGCAGCACTGCCCACCCAGTGCTCCTAGTCCAAGGACTGAGTGACACGAACTTTCAAAGGCCGTCTGCTCCAGTGGCTCTCAGTCCTGGCCTCACATCAGAATCACTGGGAGACATAAAAATGTGGATTTCCTGGCCTCGTCCCAGACTTAATGAATCATAATCTCTAGGCGCAGGGTCCAGCAGTCTATATATTGAGTATCAAAAATAATCCTCAATCAATAAAGCACTGCACTCTGGGTGTGAATTTGGGGGCAATTGGCCTCCAAAGAGCAACAGTTCTTCCCCCACCCCCAGTTTTGTTGAGATATAACTGACTCATAACACTGTGTTAGTTTAAGGTGTACAACATAATGACTTGACGTCTGTATATGATGTGAGGTGATGACCACAATAAATTAGTTAACACCCATCACCTCGCATAGCTGCAATTTTTTTCTTGTGGTGAGAACTTTTAAGACCTACTCTCTTAGCAACAGTCAGGTTGAGGAGCTGCAGACGCAGGTCCTGTCTGAACCCCGGCCAAGACAGCCAGGGTATGAAATAGATTAGAACCCAAAATGAGGCTGATGCATTGACCTGACACAAACGATGGTGTAATTCAGTTGTGGACTGTAATTTACCGACATGTGCACAGCTGGTGCCTTGCCCATTTTGACTCTGTAGGATGAACTCACACTGTGATAGGAATCACTAGATTGGAATCACCAGGGGAGCTTTCAAAAGTCCTGATGCCCAGCCCACCCTGGACCAATTAAAGTTGACTCTGCTGGAAATCAGGAGTTGTAAAACTTCATAGGTACTTCCCATGCACACCAATCTGCTATGTAAGTCAGTGCATTCTCAAAGAGGGGACAAGTACAAAAGGTTTTGAAGACTTTCTGTAGCGAAGTCACAGCAAGGAGAACCCAGGCTTGCACCTCTAGGCATGGTTTAGAGGAAAGGCTGTCTGCTGGGAGATGGCCCCAGGAGGAGACCAGCAGCCGTTCTGGGGAGATTTCTAATGCAATGTTTGTCACAATCACCTACAGTGCAGCCTTGACACATGGTAGCTCTCAATGCATTTGATTTTTGTGCTTGGGATTTCACCCTGAGAGCTCAGAGGATAAGTACCATATTTTCCTTGGCCTTACAACCACTACTGTACAATATTTATTTATATTTATTTTTTGTCTACATGATAAATCCTGTTCCTCTCTCTCTTCTCCCATAGGCTATCCAGTCACACGAAGCTTATCAGTGTCATGCAAATGTCTCTATTTCCTAAAAGGGTGGCATCCATGGGTTTACTGGTTTCCTGTTTTCACCTCAGGCCATGTGAGCCTCCACTCTGGCTGGCTGGCTGGCTCCATCTGAGGAGCATCACAGTAAGCAGAGCAAGCAATGAAATTAAGTGTAAATATTCACCAACATATAATATCAAGATCTAATTTTAAAGTGACAATCTGAAAATCAACTTTTAGCTGCCCTCAGCTTTGCAGGATTCTGTGGGGCTGGGAGAGGAGGAGGAGATGGCAGTGGACAGAGGTCCCCGTCTTATTCAGGTGGAGGATGAAGGTACTCATTAACCCTGGACAAGGACAGAAAAACACAAGATAAAATGAATTCATGTGTAGCACCAGTCACCTGAAGAATAGATATGGGATATGTGAATTCCACATCTCTACGGGAATGAAAAAGGGAGAACTTTTAAAACCCTGATAGATGAACAAGTGACCTTAATATATAGGTTCAAGAAGAGCTAGAAAAGTCAATTAATAACAATTAACTAAGGATATGTCTATTTCACTATTTATAAAAGGGAAAATGTAAACAAACTGAATTCTTATAGTAATTGCTCTAGAGTGTGATACAGACATTCAGTGGGCCACCATGATGCATTTCCTAAAAAGAACAGGGAAGGAGCTGACCTAGAAAGATGCCATCATGTATGGATACAGTGTCCCCTCTGGTTGGAGTCAGGGACTAGGGGAAACAGTCAAGATTTTGTTATATAGATATGTAATATCTAAGTTTTTAGAAATGAGAGTGTGAGGATTAATTTTGTCAACTTGGCTAAGCCATGATACCCAGCTTTTGACCAAACGGCAGTCTAGATAAATGTTTCTGTGAAGGTATTTTTTATATGTGATTAACACATAAATCTGTAGATTTTGAGTAAACCAAATTATTCTCCAAAATGTGCGTGGGTCTCATCCAATCAGTTGAAGACCTTAAGAGAAAAGACTGAAGTCCTCCAAGGAAGTGGGAATCTGCCTCCAGATAGCATTCAGATGCAAGCTGCAACATCAGCTCTTCCCTGAGTCTCCAGCCTGCCCTGTAGATTTTAGACTTATCAGCTCCCACAACCACATGAGACAATTCACACACACACACAGGTTCTGTTTCTCTAGAGAGCCCTGACTAATACAGATTTTAGTACCGAGAGTGGTTCTAGAGGAACAGAATCTTAAGGATGAGTTGTCTCAATTAGCTCTCTAATCTGATTAGATTTAAAGGCATTAATGACTATTTCCAGTAGTAAAGAGAGCACTAATCATCCATTATGTGGCAATGGAAATATGCAAAATACTGGATACTCCTAATCAAGTTCTTATAAGAGGCAAGATTCTTGGTGACCATGCATTTGGTGCCTTAGTATATTTTTGTCAAACTAACAAGTGTAATGAGATTAGCTGTTTGCTCTTAATTGTGTTGGACAAAGAAAGGAAAGAAAAGAATGAGCTCAGGGATCTGAATTCTCAGCTCAAGTGCAACATAAGTGGCCAGCAAGTTTCTGTGTCTGCCCTAAAAGAAACCCTTGTGTCTTGCAGCTGCAGAGCTGAGACTGCTGAAAACAAAGCCTAGGTCTCACCCTGCGAGTGGCTGAATTGCAAGGCAGACTGAATTCCCAGACTTGCATCGTGTCTTTATGAGAGCATTGATTGGGAAGGAATGGGATCCTGAGAACTGAAATAGGAACAGCTGGAAGATCTTGATGAAATTGGGGACACTGAACCCCCTAAATTCTGATGAGTCTGCTTTGCCAGTAGAAGGAGCTGCTCCACTCCTAGCTGAAGAGATTAAACCTGCTTTGCCTTAAAAAGCTGTGATGACCTCCCATGAGGTAGTTGCTTGGCAAGACACTGCTGATTCCCCTCAGGACCCACCCCTTCTCACCTCTTTGTTTCTCAACCTATAACTAGACTCAAGTCCCAGCAGACCCCAAAAGGTGAAATACAAAGTATGACCCTTGAGGAGGTGTGCTAACCTCCGAAAGGACTATGTGATTTTTCCAATATATGCTGACAAAAAAGTGGAAATGTGTGTGGGAATGAATGTTAAAAGTGTGGGATAATGATGGAAGGGACGAAAAGTGGATGGGGACAAATTTGTGATATGGGCCGACTAAGCAGAGATTCTGCATTTAATGTTGCAGCCTGGGGTTAGAATGTGCTCTAATAGTTTGGATGGTTGCTTGGTTGGCTGAAACATGAATCAAAAGGTGGCCTACACTAAATGAAATGCCAGACTCGCCTTGCTCTGCTACAAAGGAGGGATTTGAAGGCTAAGGGAGTTTCTTAGGTCAGTTTAGGTTGCTATAACAAAGTATCATAGACTGGGTGGCTTATAAACAACAGATATTTATTTATCACAGTTTTGGAGGCTGGAAGTCTGAGATCAGGGTGCCAGCATCGTCAGGTTCTGGTGAGGACCCTCTTTCCGGTGGCAGACTGCCCATTTCTCTTTGCTACCTCATATGGCAGAAGGGTGGAGGGAGATCTCTGGAGTCTCTTGATAAAGGCTCTAATCCCATCCATGAGAACTCCATCTTCATGATCTAATTATCTCCCCTAGGAACTCCTCCTAATACCATCACACTGGGGATTAGGATTTCCATTTATGGATTTTAGGAGACATTCAGTCTATTGCAGAGAGATGGGAAAGTTAGAGTGGATTTGTCATTTAAGACACACCCACCCTGGGAGAGACCA